TTTAGGCTTGGGAGGAGGCAAGTGTCCAGGAATTTATCTATTTCTTCCAGGTTGATTAGTTTGTGTGCATAGAGTTGTTTGTAATAATCTTTGATGATGGTATGAATTTCTGTGGAATCTGTGGTGATATCCCCTTTATCGTTTTTTATTGCATCAATTTGGTTATTCTCTCTTTTCTTTTTTATTAATCTGGCTAGTGGTCTGTCTATTTTGTTGATCTTTTAAAAAACGAGCTCCTGGATTTATTGATTTTTTTGAAGGGTTTTCTGTGTCTCTATCACCTTCAGTTCTGCTCTGATCTTAGCTATTTCTTGTCTTCTGCTAGACTTTGATTTTTTTTGACCTTGCTCCTGTAGCTCCTTCAGTTCTGACGATAGGGTGTCAATATTTGATCTCTCCTTGCTTCTCATGTGGGCACTTATTGCTATATTTTCCTCTAGAGACTGCTTTAAATGTGTCCCAGAGATTCTGGTATGTTGTGTCTTCATTCTCGTTGGTTTCAAAGAACATCTTTATTTCTCTCTTCATTTCATTGTTTATCCAGTTAACATTCAAGAGCAAGTTGTTCGGTTTCCATGAAAGTGTGCGGTTCTGCCTTAGTTTTTAAATTCTGAGTTCTCACTTGATTGCACTGTGGCCTGAGAGACTGTTTGTTACGACTTCCATTCTTTTTCATTTGCTGAGGAGTGATTTACTCCGAATTATATGGTCAATTATAGAGTAGGCGTGATGTGGTGCTGAGAAGAATGTATATTCTGTGGATTTGGAGTGGAGAGTTCTGTAAATATCTATTAGGTTTGCTTGGTCCAGGTCTGAGTTCAAGTCCTGGATATCCTTGTTAATTTTCTTTCTGGTTGATCTAATAATGACAATGGGGTGTTAAAGTCTCCCACTATTATTGTGTGGGAGTCTAAGTCTCTGTGTGAGTCATTAAGAACTTGCCTTATGTATCTGGGAGCTCCTGTATTGGGTGCGTATATAGTTAGAATGGTTAGCTCTTCTTGTTGCAGTGGCCCTTTTACCATTATGTAATGACCTTCTTTATCTCTTATGATCTTTGTTGATTTAAAGTCTAATTTATCGGAGATGAGAATTGCAGCTCCTGCTTTTTTTTTGCTCTCCGTTTACTTGGTAAATCTTCCTCCATCCCTTTATTTTGAGCCTTTGTGTATCCTTCCATGTCAGATGGGTTTTCTGGATACAGCACACCGATGGGTTTTCCCTTTTTTACAACTTGCCAGTCTGTGTCTTTTGATTGGGGCATTTAGTCCATTTACATTTAGGGTTAATATTGTTATGTGTGAATTTGATACTTCCATTTTGGTGCTAGCTGGGTGTTTTGCCCTTTAGTTGAGCTGGTACTTGTTGTTCCTTTATATGTGTAGAGCCTCTTTCAGGAGCTCTTGTAGAGCTGGCCTGGTGGTGACGAAATCTCTGAGTACTTCCATGTTCCCAAAGGATTTTATTTTTCCTTCACTTATGAANTGTTGTCAATGCTTTTGGTGTTTTCGTCATGAAGTCCTTGCCTACACCTATGTCCTGAATGGTTTTGCCTAGATTTTCTTCTAGGGTTTTTATGGTGTTAGGTCTTATGTTTAAGTCTTTAATCCATCTGGAGTTAATTTTAGTGTAAGGTGTCAGGAAGGGGTCCAGTTTCTGCTTTCTGTACATGCCTAGCCAGCTTTTCCCACACCATTTATTGAACAGGGAATCCTTTCCCCATTGCTTGTTTTTGTCTGGTTTGTCAAAGATCAGATGGTTGTAGATATGCTGTGTTTCCTCTGAGACCTCTGTTCTCTTCCATTGGTCTATATCTCTTTTTTGGTACCAGTACCATGCTGTTTTGGTACTGGTACCAAACAGTAGTAAACAGTATAGTACCAAACAGTATAGTATATACTGTTAGCCCTGTAGTATAGTTTGAAGTCTGGTAGTGTGATGCCTCCAGCTTTGTTCTTTTTACTTAGAATTGACTTGGCTACGCGGGCTATCTTTTGGTTCCATATGAAGTTTAAGGTGTTTTTTTCCAGTTCTGCAAAGAAGGTCATTGGTAGCTTGATGGGGATAGCATTGAATCCGAAAATTACTTTGGGCAGTATGGCCATTTGCACGATATTGATTCTTCCTAACCATGAACATGGAATGTTTCTCCATCTGTTTGTGTCCTCTCTGATTTCGTTGACCAGTGGCTTGTAGTTCTCCTTGAAGACGCCCTTAACGTTCCTTGTTAGTTGTATTCCTAGGTATTTTATTCTCTTTGTGGCAAATGTGAATGGCAGATCATTCTTGATTTGGCTCTCCTTAAGTCTGTTATTGGTGTATAGGAATGCATGTGATTTTTGCACATTGATTTTGTATCCTGAGATTTTGCTGAACTTACTTATCAGTTTGAGGAGTTTTGGGGCTGAGACGATAGTGTCTTCTAGATATACAATCATGTCAATTGCAAACAGAGACTATTTTACTTCCTCGTTTCCTATTTGAATGCCCTTTATTTCTTTTTCTTGCCTGATTGCTCTGGCTGGAACTTCTAATACTTTATTGAATAGCAGTGGTGAGAGAGGGCATCCTTGTCTGGTGCCACATTTCAAGGGGAATGCTTCCAGTTTTTGCCCATTCAGTATGATATTGGCTGTTGGTTTGTCATAAATACCTTTTATTATCTTGAGATACGTTCCGTCAATACCTAGCTTACTGAAGGTTTTTAGCATAAAGGGCTGTTGAATTTTGTCAAAGGCCTTCTCTTCATCAATTGAGATAATCATGTGGTTTTTGTCTTTGTTTTGTTTATGTGGTGAATTACGTTTATAGACTTGTGTATGTTGAACCAGCCTTGCATCCCCGGGATGAAGCTTACTTGATCATGGTGGATAAGCTTTTTGATGTGCTGCTGCAATCGGCTTGTCTGTATTTTATTGAAGATTTTTGCATCTATGTTCATCATGGATATTGGCCTGAAGTTTTCTTTTCTTGTTGAGTCTCT